TAAAATCGTGCATCGCTATGAAGCAAAGGCGAACGAAACGAGATGCGCTAATGATTCACGGTTTATCTACGGGCTTCTATCTTTGATACGATAGTCGATAACGTTCCAAGTGATTCTATGATGTCGTTGCTTACAAAAAAGTAAGTCAATTCTGTTCTCTGTTGCACGGAGTAACAGCGAAAGAGATTCGAGATTGCTTATCAGTGAGCACAATCGGAGCGAGCTAAACCGAAGGATAAAGAAAGACGTAGCAGGTCGTCTGCGGATTTATCACCTTGCGCAATAACGTTCCACTCGCTTGTAGAGTTCGCAATTTAATTTCATTATGTCGTGAAATCGTACAACGGCTAAACATTTTAATACTCGTTTCGCATTGTTTTTAAAGCGGAAAGTAATTTTAACCCGATTCCTTGAAAAAGTTTTCTCGTAATACTTAAGCAGATTTGCATTCTCGTAAATCGTAAAGCGCAGATCATAACGTTGATGCAATATGAGTTTCGCTGATGCTCGTCTTTACAAAGATAATTGAAAGAGATAATTACAATGGAAAAATTTACGTTCTCGCAATCTTTTGTCATAGTATTGGTAGCTTTTCTGCCTTCGTTTCAATGTGGAATGTGTAATGTATTAGATTTTCGCAAAAGTTCCTTTCCTTTTATTAACGAACAACGAATGCACAATATTTTACATTGTGTCATCGATTTGTGTAAGATCTATTCTGGTCTATTACCTTCTTTCACCTCTCCACAAGTCACATAGCGCCATTTTTCTGAAACTTTTGGCGCTTGCTGGCAAAATGTTATTCCAAGTGCGTTTTCGCGTCACTTACCGAGCTGGATTTTTCACCGCGAACAAATTTTTGTAAACAAAGGAATAAATAACAGTCACAGTAACAGGTTGAGTCACGCTAAAAGATCTCAATGAAATATTCGCAATTTGTTTCTAACGACAAGAATAGATGAACAGACGAGGCGTCATTTTCTATCGTTTTTAGCCGTTAGAAACAAATTTTTAACGTTCGATCTGGATGCTCTACCTCGTCCTCCGTGCTCTCCGGATATTGCTCCGCGTGATTATCTTTTATTTCTGTCGTTAAAAAATTGTATTCACAGTGAGAGGATCGATAGATGATATAAAAATTGAAAAAAAGAAATGATATAAAAGACAACATTTTGCTAGCAAACGCCAGAAATTCTGGAAAAATGGCATTATGAGGTTTCCGGAGAGACGTAGGAAAATAATAGACCAAAATGGATTGTACAAAATTCAATAACACGACGTAAAATAAAATATTACGCGTCCATTATTTATTTATAAAGCGGAAGATATGTTTGGAACAACCTAATGTATTCGGAATTTCATAATTTTAACGTCGTATGTTATATGTCCATTTGCATGCGTCATTGAATTCTTTATTGATCTTAAATTCGAGATCTGATGCAAATGTGGCTTCCCTCGAATACAAAATGATTTGAACCAATATCCCGCAATTAGGTTAAATTGACATCAGTATCAGTGCTGAGTGTCTAAATTATTTGATAAGAAAAGATACCAGCCGAGAATTAATTCTCCTCAATTTTCATAACGTAACGTAGATTGCATAATTTCACATGTTTCACCCAAGTTAATAACAAAGTACTGTATTTTAACTTTGCTACTTTTTTAATACTAGTGTCAAACGTAATAATACAGTATCAAATATTATTTCTGGAGTGGATATTATAGCGGGAAAGCTCGTATGAAATTATCATAAGCAAGATGTAATTACATACTCTTGTAAATCTATACATATAGATATATTTCTAAAGTCGTAAATTTCCCTTAATGATCCTTAATGTATCCATAATGATCCAAAACAACTAATAACAAGTTGTATCATATAATTTACTTGCTCGTAGCGAATACACGGTATTATTTTCTTTAAAATATCGTTATCTCTGCATGGGAAGAATACGTTAAAACACTTTCACTAGAAAATGATAAAGAAGTAGAAAAATAAATGTTAATATGTTTATCAATTCGGTATCTTCAAATATGATTCAACTTGTTATAGATACCACTCGTATCTGATTGTTTGCGCGTACTATTGTCCGAAATAAAATACACAGGTTCACGGGGATATTCGAACAATTTTAGATACCATTTATGAATATATTGTGCGTAGCGTATGAAACATTTTGAAACATTAGCACCGTTATGAGACTCGACTATCGCGTAGTTATATTGGTAAAGTTTGAAATGAATTTGAAAATATATACAGAAATTACGAAGTATTTAATGTAATTATGCATATGTTTTACAGAGATCGCAAAAGTATTTAAACAGACTATTATCGTGCATTATATGCGTATTAATAAACTTCGATATTCAGTGGAACCATATTTAACACCATATGGTCAAGATCGCTATTTACGTTGTGTATTAATTTTGTACTAAATATGTGTTTGCAATGAATATCTTCTAACTTCTATATACATTTTCAAATTGGTTTCAAATTCGACCAATACAATTATGACTATCGTGTCTCGTTGCAGCACTAATGAAATTTCCAAATGTTTTGCATAATATGTACAATATCGAGATAAAAGTTCTGTACAGTAAACATTTGAATACTTTCATGAGCCAGCGTATTTCCAAATACGCGATTGAATAATAAATTACCTCTCTGCATGAATCTAAAACTAAAGTTAAAAGAATCTTTTTATATAACGTCATGCATACACGGCGCAATAATACTTACTGAAATGTCACAAATGTAGCATTTATACGTGTACATGATCGCTACATAAATAAATGTTGCGTAAATCTAAAAGCAAATTTAGAAGTATGTTTTTACATAATATTATGTATATATGACAGGATAATACTCATTGAAACGTCGTAAATGGCGGTTCTTACACGTACATGATCATTGAATATAAATTTATTTTCAACGAATGACGTCTATAAACGCGAATACTCTACACGCAGCCATTCGAGAAACGAAACGTTAGCAAACAGTGGAACAGTTGTTGTCGCATTAAATTGGATAACTCTAAGGAAAAATCGTGCGCACAGCTATCAGAAAGGAAAAGGACGAATTATAATTACCTATGTCGCCCGTAAAAGGACGTTAATTAAAATCTTAGCGAGCCGTATAACGCGATGAATATCGGCTAATTAATTTGAAACCGCTTTCACAGTTGCACCTGTCGTCAAAGCTCCTAATCAGCTTCTGGGAGCACCTTTGAGCACGGATGTGCAGCTCGAGTGCTATGTCGAGGCATTTCCAAATACAATTAATTACTGGGTAAAGAACCGGCGAGGCTCAGACGACGAAATGCTGCTCGAAGGGTGAGATTATGTGTTCTTTTAATCTCGTGTGTTCTTGCTTCGTTTCCTAAAGGCTGGTAAAACTTATTGTCATCGAATTACACAGGCTCAAGTACAATGTACGAGAAGAACGATCCGGATACAAAGTTCTGATGTGGTTGTTGATCAAAGGATTTACCGAACAAGATGTGGGCAGTTACAAATGCGTATCGACGAATAGTCTTGGCAAGGCCGATGGAACCTTAAGGTTGTACGGTAAGTTTTTTTACTCTTTGGAAAAAATATAAGTCGAGTGGAAGTAATAAGAAACATTTTCTTCTGTATCTTACTGTTGACTTACGTTACGTCGTTACGTCACGTAAATCACTCACTGTGTTTCCTGTTCTGTATAATATCTGCCTTTTTAACGAAGCAATTTCTCAAGTAATTGCTTATAAATGGACATGCGTACAATTGTAATAATTTTTTTAAAACGAGTTTTTTTTAAATAAGTTAAAAGAATTAGTTTACTAGATGATGTGTAAAAAAATTCATCGGTATCGATGTCGGAATGTTTCGTTTAACTACCAATACTACGGACAAGGTAGGGAGGATATTGAATGGAAATCTAAACACTTTTTGATTGCAAACCTCATCAAATAATAGAACGGAATTTCGGTCTACGGTTTTCACGTGCGCAATTTTGATTTTTAAAGCGTTGCATAAACGACAAATATCAATTTTACCAAAACATCAAATCGTTTTAATTGGGCTTGCAAGATGGAAACTGAAAGCGGTATTTTATTATATATACATACATATATAGTGTGTTTGGTTTATCTCGAACCGTACAAACATTTCGAAAAACACGAACGATACGTTTCAGACAAAAATTGTATAACACAATGGTGGACATACTATACTCTTGCGTATTTGATATTGCGGTATAACGTATAAAAAAATCATGTATACGTAAAAAGACATTACAAAGGAGTTTGAAAGAAACGTTAAAAAATGACGTTTATAAAAAGATATTTTTCCGGTCTGATTCGTCTCTTCGTAAATTTAAATTACGTAAGAAATATTTTTCTTATCATCGTGGATAGAGAAAATATTCCGTTTCACGTATAGACCTTCACGAGTTAAAGGGAAGAATGGAAACTAATATTATTCACAGTATATCGATTATATATGTTAACTCAAGTTGCGAATATCACATTTCTTCTATAATTTTCTTACTTTGATGTTCTTTCGCTTTAATACATCATTACCTGGACTGTATACTTCGTTTACTGTCTTGTACTTTATTTACAATTTTATATTTTTAGTTACAATTTCAATCATTACAACCATTGTAATTTTATTTTATGCTGAATCTGTAACGCTGAAAATAACACTGAAATAATAAGGAGTAAAGAGGTTCTACAACTCCCAAAGTGTATGACACAAAAATATATTGGGGCAATAATCATTATCAATAATAGGAGATTTTTTCCTACCGGTAACCATTTTTCTGATTTCAATCATCCTCAACTTGTATTTACATTACTGAGAATCAACACTTAAACGTATGGCACCAAAGTCAGACCCACGATTCGTACCTTATTAAAATTATTTCTTAGTTAGTTACCAGAAAGGTAGTTCCATCACAAAACATGTAAAAAATTACAGGAAGCTAATATAGGAAGAAGTGTAGAAAATGGTGGTCTTATAAAAATGCTATGGGTTAGAACATTTGAACTTTTTTATTGCAAGTTAAGGTTATGCAACATAGATGATTATTTAGAAATATTAAAATAAGCTTCGTGTACATTAAGATAAACTTCAGGTATGTAATAGAAGACTTATTTTAACATATGTATGTTTTACAATATAAATATAATTAACAGGAATAAATTTCGATACGTTGAGTCTGTAGCGAGGAATAGCCTTTGCGTGTTACAATTAATTAAACGAAAGAATCTCTTCATTTAAGTTTATTTATAAAAATTACAAGTATATTAATCTCAAACATTCTTCTAAAGTCTCCTGCGAAATATCAAACAATGAAGTCTAATTTTGATGCATTTTATTTATCAATGACATAAAATGAATTATAAAACTTATATCATTTTAATAAACAAAAAACTTATGCAAATGTTAAAGCATAGAATAAAACAAAAGTTATTACAGTTCCATTCTTTATTTGATATTTGTACATATATAACTATTGCCTAAAATACAAGTTAAATTTCAGAAACATAAATTTATGTTAATTTTGTGAAGATAAGTTACCTCTCGAGACGTTCACTTAGATTCGGAGTTGAAAAAGCTCGTTTAACTTGCGTCGCAGGAAGAGCGTAACTGTAACATGGAAGCTAATTTTGCTAGATATGAAATGACATGTTTCTTGTATTTCGTCATTGTCTCTATATCAATGTTCATACGCCTTTCTTTCTCATTTTCGATTTTCTTATACACCTTACCAAGCGTTTCAGAGCTGAAATCTTGCGACTCCTCGTCGGAAGACGAGTTCGCTTCCATCTCTCTTACAGACTCATGCGATAAAAAGGAAGAACTGTCACCTGTACGCGACACTTTGTCAGTTTTTCCGTTGCGACTGAACGTAGAAGTGGCTTAACTTTCTAGCTCATTAATTCTTATATCGACTGAAATATTTGTCAGATTAATGCGCAAGTTATATTATTTTACAAAATTACATTATTACGTTATCTCTTACCTGTTTTTATGTGCCTTTTCCCGTTTAGTTTTTGTTCTGAGACCAGCCATCTAATAATTAGTATTATAAATATTTTTCTATTGTTTAAATAATGAAATACCAACGAAGCTGTATCTCAAGTTATCAATTTGAATTGTACGAGGTGTTGTAAAAAAAGAAAAATCCAGACTGAGTTCATAAAAGTTTGATTAAGTGAGCCAATCTAAATTTTGCTTTCAGAAATCATTGGGGCTATGGTAAAGTCAATCGTTATATTGTTGCAGGAAGGGATTATTTTCAAGGGAGTGGAAGTAAAATTTAGATTGGTTGATTTAATAAAACTTTTATAAACTCAGCTCCAGTTCTTTTTCATAGCATGTGCTTTAAAAGCTAACCATTATTTATAAAAGTCGCCTAAAAATAACTGATTTTTCTGTGAGTTTAGCGTGGTTCCATTTAATGGGTTCAGTCCATGAACTATATGTATGCATCTGGGATCGTAGTCCATTCCTCTTTCGTTAACGCCAAAGGCCTCTTTAAATTTCCATTACAAATCTCCGCGTTCTAAATCTACAAGTATCTTCTAAATCTCTGCATTCTAAAAGCCGCTACAACATTTCGAACGTGAAATTGCAGTGAGTTGGGACACCGGCCTGTGGTTTCTTTAGATTCAAATGTAGTATTTGAAAAAGCAATACGTTATCAGTAGAGTAGAATGCTAAATATAATTACCATAAATATAATTATCTCAGGATCCCTAATGTTTTTTTTTCACACTCACGTACACAATTTACGATCTCAATTTTATTTTGCTGAAAAAAAACTTGCACTGCAAGTTTTAACGTGTGTCTGTAATGTATAAGGTATATAGCGTATATTTGTAATGAAATCAACAGAGGCATTTCTGACTTCTCGTACCGAAGGTTTGATCGAAAATGTTTCTTTTCTTTCGCAAACATTTCCGCTGTCATTTTCTTCTTCAAAGTCGCTTTCTCCCTTACACATTTCCGCTGCCATTTTCTTCCTCAAAGCCGCTCCCTTTCTTAGACATTTCCAAGTGCATCGAAATTTTCTTAAAATAGTGTATCTTCTTAAAATAGTAATCGATCGACATGAAATTTTGATCAACGTTGTACGTGTACACTCGTTTTCTTCGATGTCGGAGTGTAGGAATGGACGTACAAATATACTCCTTTTTTAAGAACTGGAAAATACTAATCTACTAAACTTATGACCTAGTAATAAATAATGAGATATTACTAAAATGAAATAGAATAACGCGATAAACTGAAGAAATGTAAATAATCGCTGCTGTATTAGCAATCGTAATGGATTCGGCATTTTTCCAAGCAATTCTAATCTTCGTTTCACAGATACATTCAATTGCAATTAGCATAACAATATCGACGTATTCGACACGCTTGTTTAGAAAATACATAGTTCGTCTTTCATGATAGTCCATCTCTACTTAAATTACCCTATACACGTCACTTTGAATCTACATATATATACATAGAATACATATATCGTACACGTATATTCTTATACTTCGATAGTAATAAAATAATTGTAGCAGAAATAATAGCAGTGCACTCACATATATATCATCTGTTTTTAGAAATAAAAATCGGTTTCGATAGATCGTCGCGCGGCAAGGATCATGTGTCTATAATCGGTGGTAAGCTAATCCTTTTCCTCTCACAATGATCTTAGAAAACGAGGAGAATGGAATAACGTTGATTATGTTTATTTAGGTCTAGCGGAAGCAGCGCAAAGTTCAGGCGCTAATAGCAGCGGCAGACGATTGTTTGGATGTTGGAAGAAGTTATCACACTTCTTGTCGATATGTCTGTTTGTACCAGTGCTACTGTGGCCGCGGTGAAGAAGGCATCTGCTGTTGGTCACCGCGAAGCTGAGTGCCGGATAACTTTGTGCCAAAGGACAAGAAAAGAGGAAGAATGTTTGTGCGTGTGTGCGCGCGTATGTTTGAACCTATACAAAATCAAAGAGAGTATTTGATTCGAGAAAAAAGAAAAAAAGAAAGAAAAAAAGCAGAAAATTCGAATTATTTGAATGTCCGTGTGAATGATAAGAAACAGCGAACCAAAGAAAAAAGAAATAAAACGGAGGCTCGCGTTCTCCACATCTTCCTATTTCCCTTTCCTACTTTCAAATGTCGAAAACATTTTTAGATCAATGGATGTTGTCAATGTATGCGCCCATTTAGATTTGCAATTAATTTTGCTGAACGTCGGTTATGAATCGGCGAATCAATGGAACGACGCACCGCCAAAAATACAAGACTTGGAAACGCTGAAGCAGCTTGGCCCTTCCTAATAATGCTTAACGAGACGTTGATAATAATACTTCACAATCATCTTATCATTGGTATCAGCGTTGCGGATATTTAGACGTCAGGAAATTCGATGTTTCGAAATAAAAGTATGCGATCGAACGTTGTATATATATTGTCTACAACTACACACACCCGTGTTCCATTTCCTGCCCTTCTTTATTCGAAATAATTTCAGTATAACTTCAAATACTTCTACCCTACATAGCGCGATGAAAGTATAACGCAGCTTGTGTATTGTATCTTTTACTGCTTCGAAATCGTGAAAAAATAATTTCTGTAGCTGTTCTAAAACTTTCAGTTCCAAATCTATTTAACGATCTCTAACGAGAAATAGTTGTATGCAGGTACTAACTGACTTTTCAAGTAATTTCAACGTTTCAATAATCATCTTAAATACCTTCGAAATGCGACAAAGCGTGTATATTTTTTATATTCGATCTCAATTTTCGCAGATATGTACAATGTACATAAGTAGTACTTATCGACGCAGCAGCACTTGCTACGGCTTTTAATAGGTCAGACTGGTCTACGTTATCAACCGAAACTCAATACTCGCTATAATATCACCGGCGAAGTACAGATACCATAGATCAGATACCAGGTACAGGTACAGCTACCAAGAGGAGATTCTGTACCTCGCCGCTGATAATATGTACATGTCGAATGTACATTATATTAAAGAAAATAAATCCAATAAAAACTTACACTTCTTGTTAATTATGACGTACGTTAAAACTTGAACGAATTGGTTAGCAGTTAGTATTTTGAGCATAACCCACCGATTACCTTGTAATCTTTTCAAGTAACTCATAAGCGTCTCTCATTACATCAAGGTGACAATAGAATATCGTAACTTTGTCCGTTTTTAAGATTTAAATAAAATTTATTAATACAGATAAATGTATTAAATAGAAAAGACTAATAAACGATTATTAGTAAATAATTAAACGTAATATCTCATTATCTCACTCAAATCTACAGAATACTTGTTAACATAAACGGAGCAATTTACACGAATTAATTATCGAGAAGAAAAATTACAGTTTTGTGATCAATTTTATATTCAAATTTTGCTTGATAGATGTGTAAAATGATACATCATACAAAATGATGTAAGATATCTGAAAACTATTTTTATACATTTTCAAACCATCAAATAAGTGTTTGACATTTTTGAAAATGTTTATTTCTTAGTTACAAATGTTTCATTAATTATAATAGATAAGCGATAGTTACTATCATCTTACAAACGTAAAATGAACAAGTGTAGTGGTTCTAGTTTCTAAACTGAAGGATATAAATTATTCATTGCTTGCTTATCTCAACTACATTACTGAATGAATTATATTACATTATCTCAATGAGATTACTCAATCTAAGTAGGGCATTTACCAAATTAAGAGCTATTTGTACCGATACTCCTTTTTTCTTAATTGTATGAGCTTGTTATTTTCAGTTTTGTAAAATCAGATGTACTTTGATTTTTATTTTTAAGACAATAATATACATATGAAACAAGCAAATAATACAAATTTTCTTCTTTTTAAGGATATCTCTCTTCTTCGTCTCATGCGTTTGGTTTATCGTTTGTCATGAAACTCGTATTAATTAAAAAATAACACGTAGTTTCCGAGACAAATCAACTGACAGTAGTTACAAAATTACGCATTACATGTACTACACTATATCTATTTACACTATTATTAAAAGATTCATTGTAGGTATACTACAAGAAACGTCGTGAAATTTGTTATAGTAAAAAGGCGGTACAACAACGTTGTACGTAAGAAATTCTAAATGGAATTTAAAAATCGGTCATTTGACCGGTCGCTGTAGGTTTACTATTATATCGTTCAAATAATTGTATTCTGACAATTTACAAAACTATACTAACTAAGAAAGTACTGATTCTTAGTTCTATGCATTTGAAATTGAAATTGAAAAAATGATACCTATATACTGGAGGCAATTAGTGTTACGTCGCGTAACACTCTACCTAGCTTGTGTAGAAGAACTCCCTTAGTTTACTTGGAAGTCCTTGCATTTTCTGAAAGGTTTTCCCATCCATTGAATTTATAGCGGCCTCGAGTAACAATATCGAAGGGGAATACCGTTTAAAGGGGACCCAAGTAATATTAAAACTCTTTACTATAAATAATTAAGTTTGCTACGTTGCAGTTCCAGCTTGGCATCTTCAAGGCGAAGTCAGGTATTTTAAAACGTTCATAAGACCGGAAATTGCATTCCTTACCCAGTTCGTAGTAAATATAGTTACCGAATAAAGTAGTATTTGCCAACTTGTGCGATTCTAACTTTTTCATGTGTGTTTCACCTTGATATTTCTTTATTACATAACGACAGATACGAAGCATTTACATCGTAAATATTTGTTACGTCGCGTAACACTCTACCTAGCCCAGGCCACACACCGCGGGCAATATGGCAACCAGATGTTTTCGAATACTCACTGCGTACCCTCAATAGTCTCAAGTACCTTCCATAAATCTCAGCAATTTCCTAGTAGAGGTCCTTCAAACCACACAAACGTCTGTTTCCGAAGAATTTCTAGAGACTATTGTCTACCACGGCTTGACAAGGGAAAGTTAGTTTTTCTCACCTATGATGCAACTTTCCTCCCACTAACCACTTTCTCTCGAGGGCGGTTAAGACCCTTCGTTTAACCAATTAACAACGAAGCCTACTCCCTCACTCTCCTAACTAAAATCGTCACCAACAAATCCGATGGTCCCGTGCGCTGGATACACCCATCCTTAGCTTTCCTCCGAGACAGCATCGTCTCCCAAGACAGTACTGATTTTACATCCTTCGAACGGTCAACATCCTTCCACCGGGTATACACACCCGCAGATCAGTCACTCATTCATTTCGTACATACGCACCAGCGTAACTACCTACGTTATAAGTAGTGGAATAAACGGTGAAATATAACTTACTACTGTGTCATATTCATTCAACCACCTCTGTTATCTTAACCGAATCGTAACGAGAATTTACGCCTTTCGCTGACGCGTTTTCCTCGCGACCGCGTCTCTTCGCGAACGGTCGTAACAATTAGATTACATAATAGCATCAAATTCGGTCTAGATATGACCGATCATATGCTCAGAAAATACACTATAAAATTTAAATCTCGGAGATGACCTCTACGGGTAGTTTTCAATATCTTATACCTAATAGAAATAAATACGTGAATTTTATATTAAAAAAACCACGAGAGAAGGAATTTCCCCCGATCGCTTAGGTGTTGCAATAAAACGATTGGTTCGCAATATGTTAATCTAAAAATTTGCGAAAATTGGTTCATTGGTTGCTACACATAGGCGTCCAAAATTTGACAATTCTCTTTGACGTTGTATGCACGAAATTGCTCATTGCGAAAAAAACTGGCACATTTATCTACGAATTTACGACATGGCGATTTTTTAACGTCATTTTCTTAGCCATATATCCAGCAAAATATTTCATGGCATACAATTCCAAGAAGCAAACTGATGTTGATAGTTCATTAATTTCATGTTAGGTAGGTCATTAAGAATCATATCAGCGTTAATACTATCATCATCACTATGCTCTTCCATGAACTATAATGAGACATCAGATTATGACACGGTTGTGTCACACTGTGATATATTATCCTCCGTTATTAGCGACGCCGTGTCTCACTATAATCTTCTATGCAATTTGCAAAATTAAGACAATGAGTTGAACGTAACAATATCTATATTCTTCTCTATTTGCTAGACGCACTACTGTTACCGAAAAATTCTGGTTTTAAACAACCCGAACACAAGAAACAAAATTTTTCGAGCAATCCACACTTGATCTCGAAGTCGTCAAAAATGCAATGCTATCCCATAACCCATCAGGACCGACGTCTATGCACTGTACAAACTCTTGTTTCGTTCCTACTAGCCAAAGTTCATACAGACACTCTATTACGTTTCACGACATCTCTCAAGGATGGCTGATGCTCACAGTAACGTTTTGCACTGTGCAGAGCTCATCAGATTTTTCGAATTCTCTTCTGGAATGGCAGCCCAGTTCTCCAGTGGTCGTTTTACGATTAACTATTACCTCGACGAGTCAGGAAATGGAAAATCGAAATTTAGTGGAAAGAGAGAATGAAAGTAACTCTGACGAAGTAATTGATGATCGAGCAATCGCAGATGCGATCGTTGATTCATTCTTAATTCATTTTGGAAAACTATGTCGCAAGATGCAATCGGCAGCACGAAAAGGAACCTCAACAAACAGATGGAGTTTTCAATTATCGACCAGAAACTGGTATGGTAATTTTTCATATCATTTAATCTAGATATTAAATCAACTTCTACAAAATTATATGTTTTTATATGTTTTCATAAGCCGTGTGCACAGGGGTAT